TTCTTGGCCTCCATGACGACCATGGACTTGACCCAATTAGTTCATGCACCCACTCACACGGGAGGACATACACTGGATCTAATTTTTGTCTCTGGCCAGTGGCAGAATGATCTGGAAATGGGGGAGATAATTATAGAGCCCTTGTCATGGTCAGATCATGCACTCCTTAGGATGGACTTCCGGACCGCTTCCCCTCGCCACAGGGAGACGGAACCGCCTAGATGGTTCCGTCCCAGGCTCCTGATGGACCCGGAGAGGTTTCTGACGGAGCTTGGGCCATATCCGGAGGAGCTAGGTCACGACTCGGCGGAAGATCAGGCTGCGGCCTGGGAGGTGGCCGCAGCCGCAGCACTGGACCGAGTCATGCCGCTGCGGCCTCTGACCCGACGTAGATCTCAACTAGCTCCTTGGTTCACCGAGGAGCTGAGAGAGATGAAACGCCGGAAAAGACGCCTAGAGAGCAGTTGGAGGGCTACCCGAACTGAATCCAACCGAACACAGGTAAGGATACATGTTAGATCCTACCTTGTGGCAATGAGAGTGGCGAGATCTAATTACTACTCCACCCTCATTGCGTCATCAGATAACCGCCCGGCCTCCCTCTTCAGGGTGACCCGCTCCCTCCTTCAATTGAGGGGGGGACCCCCTGGTGGAGAAGGCTGAGGAGTTTGCACAATATCTGCATGACAAAGTCGCTCGGATCCGAGAGGGTCTGGACTCCGACTGGGTGGCCCCGGGGGAGGTGGCAGGAGCAGGTCTTGAGACTATTATATGGGAGGAGTTTGACTCTGTGGCTCCCGAGGACGTGGACAGGATCCTGGGGAGGCTGAATGCAACCACATGTTTATTGGATACGTGTCCCTCCTGGCTGGTACTGGCGGCTCGGGAGGGTACACGAGCCTGGCTCCAGGGAATTATAAACGCTTCTCTACGGGAGGGTGCCTTCCCCGCGGTCCTAAAGGAGGCGGTGGTGAGGCCCCTCCTTAAGAAGCCTTCCCTGGATCCAGATGTATTGGCTAACTATCGCCCAGTCTCCAACCTGCGCTTTGTGGC